TGACAGTTATAACGATTTTCAAACTCTTAGCAATCTCTTCCGTCAAAATCTTCACTTTAGTCTGCTTGCCATGATAGAGAATGTCTTCATCGGCATCGGAAGGTCACCTGGGGCGTGGTTGATCTTTCAGGTTAAAATCACCCTGACAAAATCTGCCAAACTAGTTTTTGACAGTCCGAAGAGTTGGAACACTATCCAAATAAACCTTCTCAATGCTTTTGTTGCAATTCCGACACTTACTCGATTCCGAAATTCATCGAGCATAATATGGCGAAAGTGCAACTTGACATCCTCCATCTTTGTTTTGAGAGAAAACGTCAACATTAAACAATGTCTGGCTCTCAAATGAAAGCTTTTTAATCTAAAAGACGCCAGAAATCGGCACCAAAATAAATGCTAGTGTCAAGTTGCGGTCATTTTTATATTAACAATGAAAATCGGGCAATGATCTAAGTTTAATAAATGTGAAACTAATTTTGTTTCACTAAATATCAATACTTATGGTTCTTAATTTTAGCTTTTTAAAAACATTCAGAATGTACCGGTACTCAACAAAAAGGAACAGCCCAACATGAAAAAAGACTAAACTAATTGGTGACGGAGTGTGGATCTCAGGAACAGAACCCCAACATAAATTTTATGGTTCTTAATTTTAATTTTTTTTTAAAACATTCAAATGACACCGTGTTGATAGTAGACACAGAAAGGAAAGTGAAGCTATTAAAGGAAAGCAAGAAGAAAAGACTAAACATCAATTGCAAGAAGACGGAGTGCATGGATCTCGGGAACAGGAACAGCCCAACATGCAAATTACAAATTAGAGATAGTAAAATCAAACAAATAGAACAATTCAAATATCTCTGAAATGATTTAACAAAGGACGAAAAGTGTGTCACTGATATACTAAGGCGCATTGGGAGAGCGAAAGATGCCTTCGAAAAGCTAAGCAAGGTATTAAGAAACTGGAAAATTTCGTTAGAAACAAAGTGTACTGAATTGTTACATAATATCAGCCCATCTATATGGCAGTGAAGCCTGGACATTCTCCTCAGATGAAGAGACTTGAAGCATCAGAAATGTGGTTCTACAGAAGGATGCTGAGAATACCATAGACCGAAATTGTGAACAACGACAGAGAAAATTGTATCAGAAAAGGAAGTTTATACTTGACATCAGTAAGGAACCATTGAAATTTCTGTGCGCACATAATTAAAAAAAGTGGGCTTAGAAAATTTGACACTCACGGGACAGAGCAAAGTACGATATATACTACCTAAAGAGCTTGTCGGAATTGAAGGCAAGAAGGACGGCGGAAAAAAATGCCTAACCCCTGCCTATCACCCTTGAGTAAACGGAACAGGGTCTAGGGGAGCTAACAAAAAGACAAATTTACCAAGAGCTGCAAATGAGGAAATGATGGAGAGCAATGATCACTAATGTCCTGGCGGGATAGAGCAGTCATACACGTGAGAACTGATCAGCTCATAAAATACGTGTGCTGGTCCCTACAAACGTTCCCCCGAAATTTTTTATCTTTTCGTTTGTTAGATTTTTTTATAGTAAGATTCACTCTTTACAAAGACCAAGTTACGTTAGGAGACTATTTGTGTGTATAGGAGTGGAAGATAAACGATCAGCCCTGGCCTTAAGATTGTAGTGATCGTTGGGAGTCTGTTCCACAGAGCAGTGGTCGGCATAAAAAGCTGCTCGAGTCGAACTTCTCACCGATGGGATATGGTGTGAATGTCAGTGGTTTGCTATTATGTATGTGACAATGCCGTGAAGGTTTGCTTCGGCGGGACCAAGGAATTTAGTTCGTCCGAGCACTTTCCGTTGAAGTAGCGTTAGAGCAGCGAGAGGCTTGCCACACCCCTCCTGTGAGAGAGGGATTCAAGGGTGGAGAATAATTCGTCACCCACAAGAACTTTGAAACGCTTTTGGATTCTCTCAAGACTGCAGCGTCAGGTCTGGGATTCTAATACTTACACTTTTGCCCCATCGTCTCTCTTCTGAACGTAGGAGTCCATAGCTCGCCACAAAATGTCCTTTGACTTGCCATCATCCTTGGAGGAAATAGTGGTTCCTGATGCATTCTCCACTGTTTTGAACTCCAAGAAGTCCTTCTTGTTGACTACTACTCAAAGCTAGATTAGTCTACTCTTTTATTTAACCCATGGCTGAAGGAGGTAAAAAAAAATCATCCTTTTTTTCCACCGGCATTAGTGTGAATGTAGGGCTAGGCTTGAATTTGAACACCCCTATACGTTATGCATAAAATTAATAAGAATAATGGCGCCTCCTCATAAATTTAGTTAAAACAAAGCGATAAAAATGCAACATTACTGTGTGCATAAAAACAGAGGCCAAATGATCCATACTAGAACACAGTAGTTCCTCACTTATCCGGACATGAAATGAAGAGAAAAATTTGAAATCATGTGAACATTTTTTTTTTTAATTATGTGAACTGTCCTTTCTAATATTTCCTCTTGGACAAGCATTTTGAGATACCTTGCTGCCGGATGTAGTTTATCGTCATACCTAGAAGTATTATCACAGTTCCGTCACGCAAAAGCTAGTGACCAATTTCAAAGTTCAAAGCAATAATTGTTTAAATTGGTTGGGATTACACCGAGAAGCTCTACCTATTTTTTATTTTACCCTCAATTAAGGCGATAATGCCACGAAGATGCAATGCGTTACTGGGAGTGAAAGAGATTGGGAAGACTTTCGAAGGAACCGGAAACCCAATCCTAAAAAGGAAACTACGACGGCAACCGGAAGTATATAAAAATTGCCACCTTTATTTTTTGTCCAGCCAAAATATCTGGACAAAATTATGAGAACGTATGAAAGTGTTATTTAATGATACAAATGTTGAATTTCCTTCAGACTTCATTTTTTTTTTTTTATCGATTATTCCGGAAATTCAATTATCCCGATTCTGTTCTTCGTTAAAGACAATTATTGATACATTTCATTTTTTTTTTTTTTTTTTTTTAACCTCTGTTCCTAGGTGTCCAGATAATGGAGGAAGTCCTATAGTCGATTTATTTCGACCTCTAAGTCATAAAGTAATATAAAATAACAATACGTCCGATAGTTGAACTAACAATTCTAGCATCCGTTTGCATAAATCGGTTGCATTTCGATTGCCTTTCTGTAAGAATCGCCATTGAATATAAGATTGTTTCTGTGCGGGCGGAAGACAGCTTGCAACATATAATCTGAAACTTGTCAAAAAAAAAATGAAGTGGGGAATGAAGGCACCTAGCTATTGTTTACAGGAATAGTTTTTAAGCCAGGATTCTTTCTCATTTGATAGACGCCGGAATTGATCCAAAACATTTTCAGAAACTGACTAAACATGCAATTCTTCAGTGACAGTCGAAAGTACTCGGATAAAAAAAAATGACTTTGAAAAGTATAACAATTTTAATTCTGACGTAAAACAACTTAATCGGAAGTTGGAAAAAACTTGATAAAATGTTGGACAAACAGACTTTGTTAGTATTGTTCTAATTTATTTTAAAAAGTATTCTTACTGCATTAATTATATATATATATATATATATATATATATATATATATATATATATATATATATATATATATATATATATGCCTCAACCCATTTAGAAGTTTATTGTACCTTGAACTCCTATCAAGTGCCGTGCCAAATTTCATTAGAATTACACCAGAGGCTCTTTATTCTAGGTTCTTTATTCTAGGGTCGTTTTTGTTTTTACGGCATTTTAATATTAAATTCAGTATTTGCTTTTAATACACCTTATCTCAATTCGCGTATATAAACAAACACTTGCATATTATATTCCAAATATTGTGTGTCAAGAATACGACATGCTTAAAACCCTTGTAACAACATTATTAAAAAAAATGAAATGAAAATAACGCTACTTATATTTATACAATTCACTAAATTACATTAGAACATTTTTTTTATAGACAGCCTCTTCAAGTTTCACTTATGTGTCGCATGACTTGGTGGTAAATAAATATATAAATAGATGCACACTGGTTTGCTGCCGTTGGGTATTTTGAAATAAGTATCTATTTCTAAAACGATTCCACTTGTTTTAAGCTATTAATCTAAATTTTTACGCTATGAAGCCCAGTGGAACAATAACACTTTTTTTATCGTCTTTGATATTAATTAATATTGTACTAAAATTACCTTTTATGAAAAAACCTACTCTTTGTAATATAAAGTAAATCATTTCTATTGATATTGTAAAATAATCTTTTTTCTCGTACTTTAAATCACAATATATTTGCATTAAGGCGTTTTTTGTGCTTTTCATTCGTTTTAGGACCGGATAATTTTTTTTTTATAATTATTAACTAATAAAAAATACACTTTTCAAAAAGACGACACATGTTTGTTATTTACTCCAGATTTTCATGCGATGTGCTATGAAGCCCAGTGAAACAAACTTTCTTTTACTGTCTTTAAATACAAATTAAAATGTGTAATTAATAATAAAGTTGATAATATTGTTACCTCATTTTGTATTATGAACTGATTTTAAAAAAAAACCAACGATATATATATATATATATATATATATATATATATATATATATATATTTTTTTTTTTTTTTTTTTTTTTTTTTTTTTTTTTTTTTTTTTAAAAAAAAAAAAAAACCTGCATAGTCTACAAAATTAGTTCACTAACTATAACCAATGTTGGCATCTCCTGCATATGCATATATTTGTACATATGTAGGAGCACGTAGTTCCATCCGCCGTGAATAATGATGTAATACAAACTACTTTCTGTGCGGTATCTTCCTCTGCTCCCATCGACTAATTAATTTGACATGTAGTAAACAACCTACCATGCTGGAACACTTGTTGGAGGAGGAGTGGAAAGCGTTCTTCTTTTTGCGCTTGATGTAATGATGATGGACACGCACACACACATCAAGCCTCCCACTCGGCGTCATTTCGTTTCTACGTTGTGATCACTTTCGACAAGATCTTATCACCCGGATATGTGCAGTCCTCTCTCACTCTCTCGAATTCCCTCTATGGGTCACCTCTCTCTTTCTCTCTCTCTCTCTGTGAGTCCCCTCCCCCTCTCTGTGTGTGTGTGTGTGAGAGAGAGAGAGTGAGTTAGAGAGAGAGATATTCCCCTCCCTCTGTGTGTGTGTATATATATATATATATATATATATATATATAAAATGTGTGTGTGATTCGTAGATATTAAAACGCAAATACAATTACTGAACTGATGGTCTTTGCTAATCTTTTGTATATGAACGCATCTCTGCTTTATTTTTTAAATTTAAAACTTTATCAGTCCTCCTATATGGCAATAAATGCTGGACAATCTTGTCAGAACACTTGAAGCAACAGAAATGTGGTTCTACTGGAGGATGATGCTGAGGATACAATGGACCGAACATGTGAACTAGTGCCGCTTGTAATAGTTATACCGTTGGAATTTGTTTTTTTCCGAAGGTTGCCCTGTTGTCTTCTTCACTATTTTAAATTCAGAGTAGCCCTCCTGAGTCATTTCCACCTAAGCCTAAAGAACGCGATTTACTCTGCTTTTTAACCCATCTACAGGGGAGAGAAGCGACAAATCCGTACCTTTCCCAAGGCTATTAGGGCTAAAGGAAACGTTCCGCTGTGATTTTGATTTTTTTTTTTTTTTTTTTTTTTTTTTTTTTTTTAACTGCTTTAATCGTTGTATGGAAGCAGCAGCCTTTGATCCTTCTTCCCTCCTGATCCTTTCAGAGGGCTTTCAGATAGCTTGGCGGCGCCCACTCTCTCTCTCTCCCCCAACCTAAGACCACGGGATATGGTATGGGTTGTCATCAGTCTGTACACTTGTCGACCTTCTCCTAGACCAATTGCCCCCCAAATCTATAGGACCCAGTCTGCCCTGCTATTTACCCATAGGTCGGGAGAGAGGAAATGGATTCATACCTGAATGTAATGAACTCGACTGGAATTCGAACTCGGCTCTCAGGTTCCTCAGTCCAAGCCGCTATCCTTTATAACGCTACTTTTATCTAAATTCGATAAATGTTGAAGAAATTGTCTCACTAATGAAGATTTTAGGTGACTTGAACCATATTGCCCGCAAAAAAAAGTTTCAAAAGGACGTTAAAGAAGAACTAAACATTTGAACGTAAATTTCTACACTTTCTCAATTCTTGAGAATTGACAACACAAAAACATTCAACACAACAAAAGAGAATGAAAAGACTTAAGGAACTGGAAACCAATCCTAAACAAGGGATAAACCTCTACTCCTGTACATTTTTTTCCGTATGTATCAGCCCTGATGGTTCATAAGTTTTACATAATAAAAAAACTGTATTAGGTAAAAAAAAAAAAAAAACTATTTTTAAAAAAGCCGGCTCCGTTTTAAGGCATGGAAATGACGTAATCTTAGCCATATTATAATTGGACTTGTTCCTTGGCAAGTACGTTGCACCCAGCCAATACGTAATAATAATAAAAAATGACTATTTCGTATTGATCGAAGAAAGACGGAAAATACATAACCGAGACACTGTTTGGTTTCAGTGAGAGAAAAAAAATGAAGATGAAAGTCTCACATGCTTAATATTTGATTCAATGAAATGGAGAACTTGTCAATTTTAAATCATTTGTACCCTCTTAATTCTTTAAATAATGACCTGCCTTCATACTTAAACGTTAACCAGATTAGTAATAACAAGTATAAGCTCAAATATTTAACGATGTTAGAGGGGAAATTCTATGGGTATTTTAGTAGTAGAACTCGCTACGAGCTTATTCAGTCGTTAACTTTCTGAATTATTAATCAGAAAATTTAAACTGAAAAAACAGAAAACGATGTCGTCATGAGTACTACTAATACAAGGCAAATGACATAATGGCTGCAGGGAGTATTTTCTAAGCAGGCTAGCCTTCCCGAAATTTAGGGACTTGCGCAATATCCTTTCTTCTCCCAAGCTAGTTTAAGTAAATATCTTGATCGATGGTGTACTTGTGAGCCCTGTAAGTAGTGCTTAAAATAAGGCTTCTTTGTTTCGATAAGTTAGCTGTCTGGTTGCTGTACACTAGTGCGTAATATACTATATGGCTACGTGATTATAATTTATTTTTTTCATCCGTCTACGAAGAACTTAGTTTCTTACTTTCTTTATCAGTTTCCTTTTAATTTTTCCGCTTTCTTGTCCATAGGTCTGACCCCAACATAGGCAGGGTGACACCAAATGAAGTTGGTGACGGTAGACTAAAAAATTCAATTGCTTGTGGGTGGGAACGGTAGATTAAAAAAAAAATTCAGATACTACTAAGGTGAAAGCAGTAAGCTAAAATCTCGAATGCTGCTGGGGGTTTGGGATTTTCTATGTGTGCCGTGTTCCATCAGGACATGGACGGTTATGGCTCTCTACAACTTCCTGTCTTTTGCAACTGTTAATAAATCTTGTGGCTTTTTTGCTGTCTATCCTAGTCCCTTTTCTGCCAACCCCTTACACAAAGTAAGGGTAAGTTATTCGCTGCTTTCCCCAGTCCTTCTTGTCTTCAATATGTCCTGTGAGTGTAAAATTCCCCAAGCCGTTTTTCCTCGTCATGTGCCCTAGAAATTTAAACTCTCTGATTCCATGTGTCCTTTTTGCTACCATTTTCCCCGGAACTTCCTTACTCATGTGTTCATTCTAGCATTCTCTGTATTCTCCTCTAGGGTCATATCTCGGTTGCCTCAAGTCTCCTCTTCGTCTATAAAGAGATTGCCCAGCATTCACTGGAGAACCGATGTTTCGTGGTGGGGGTGATTCTATAGTTTTGATCTAATCCTCTCATGAACATTATCCATTTTTTTGTAAATAGTTCTATATTTATATATTTATTTTATATTTATATATTATTTTATTTTTATCGTATATTTTATTTACAGTTCTATATTACTACTGTAAATATTGTTTTTGATTTCAAATAACTTTTTTCTCTATTTTCTAGATAGGAGAC